AGCAGCATGCTCAGGTAATTTGAAATGGCTTGTGAATTATAGAATATTTAGAATTATTAGAAGATTGATCATATAAAATACAGGTTTTGGAAAGTTATGTTTGCAAACTCACAAGCCAACAAAACTATTTCCATTGATTTGCATTTTCAGGAGGATGGGTGTTTTTTTTGACTAACCTCCAGTTTCTGGCTTGGTAGCAGTAGGAGTTCCCTGCAGGGCACTCACAGGGCTGTGTGCCTGAACACCCTGAGAATGACTAAACAGGGGGGAAATGGAGTTGTCCATTTTCCTTTGCCTCAGTGGAGGGAGAGGCAAAAGTGTAAACAAGAGATGTAAACTGAAATTTGAAAACTTGAAGTAATGAAAACGAGAGATTCCAATTTTAATAAAGGTGAGAATTAGTCATATGCAAGCATACGTAAGGATACTTGCTTAAAGGAATAGATGTACTTTTTTTTTTTTCCCTTGCAGGATTCTTTTTAACATCAGTTTGAGATAATTGGGGAGTAAGGTATGACCCACTTATGAGGGGACAGGCTTTGGGAAGCAGAGAGATGTGTACTTAGAGCCAGCTCCTGCAATATGATTTACATTCATAGACCTTCTGCAATTACTGGAGCTCTGCATATTCTCCAGGGTCTGCCCATACAGGTCACACTGCAGGGTTGGAGCTTTGGTGGTATATGAAAAATAAAATGAGCTGGAAGGCCCCTAGAAAAATGCTCGGGTATATTAAAAGAAGTAGTACTGAAAACTGGAAGCCCAATTTATTATATGGCTGTGCTCTGCTGGAACATTTGGTCTTGCCGTATTTAATTCAGGAAGTCTTAATGCTAGGTGCTCAGCGCATGGCTGTAATGTCCATTAATGCTAGCGGAACGTGGGCATGCACAGAAATGTGTCTTCCACGAGGACGAGGAGTTGAGTTCACTTCCAAGTAGTGATAAGAAGCAACGAAACATAAAATCATTAGCACAGTTCAAAAGAACATTTAAGGAAGGAAAGGCATCAGGCAAATTGCCAAGATAATTCAGGGCATGACAGACACCGATGGGCACCCTCAGGCACGCTGGAGCAGGTGAAGGGCTCGGTGGTGAGGGGTAGCAGTCTGTTCACTTGTGTCGGTCTGTCCGGACGTGTCTTGTTGCCAGTTTTCTTGTGATCCGTTGTGTTGAGGGAGATGGCTGGCACTGGTGTTCACCTGCGCTGTGAGCCACAGGTTTGAAAAGGTCAACTGAAATCGGAATTTATATGCGAGGTGAGGTGCTTAATGTCTTCATTACCAGGTCAGCACCCAGTAAATGCTTGCTGTACACTTCATTTTTATAGAGAGGGACTGCAGACTCTAAGGCTGAACTCTAGAATGTGGGTAGCCTTCGAGTGAACAGGAAATTACATTTCTTTCCAGAAAGCCCGTTCCTAAAACACGAGGGCTCCAAAACTTTCTGTTTGCTTCTTGCACTCTCCTGAACTTTAATGTCTGTCCATTAAGATCTGCAAGCCTGGCCTTCGCACTGAGAAGGCTTCCCATCTTGTTCCAATATCTAACAGCTTTTAGCACTGCTCTAACTTTTGGCAAAAAAAGGTGAAAATAACTGGCCTAAAATGGAAACGTTGGTGCCTGGTTTTGGAACACAGTTGCATCCACAGGACTTTTCTAGGGAGCAGCAACAAGAACGAATGCACTAAGGCGGGCTGCCTGGACAGTCTGATTTGGGCTCGGATGTTGCAGTGGAATCCATGTGTGCACTGCAGTAAGAGGGGCCCGGAGGAGGCTGAGGTGAAGCGCAGAGCAGAACTGTAAATGCAGTTTTGTCTGCTCTTGTGAGGCCCGTGTTCACTTCTCCCAACAGTAGGATTTAACTGAAGGATCTGGAATTGCCTCAGGCTCTTCTTAAAGTCACTGTTGTGAGAGTGACATCCAAAGAACAAACTATGTCAGTTCAGTGTCCAAAGACAGGTCCAATGAAACCAGACCCTACTATGCTCACAGTGTTTATAATTTATTCTCATCTCTTTTGTAATCACACTGGTGTCATAGCATTTGTAAAACCAATTACTCTTTTTATTTTAATTTACTTATTCTTCTGCCCTGTATGTATAATTTGCAAATGTATTGTGAACCGTATGTTTATCCCTGAGTTGCCTAAAAAACTTTTGCAGTATCAGTGCCCTGCTTACAGCTGGTAGTGGGTCCCTGGTTTGGGGAGCCAGAATGAGAAAGGTAGTTGCACCTTCCTCATTGCACCTTTATTCTCTTTCTTAATATGAGTTTCATAACAGCTGCATTACTAGCTGTTCTCTTGTAGTTGTATAGCTATGTATATAGATATACATGTACATGTATACATGTATACCTGTATCTGTGTAGCTTTATGTTGTCCCTTTGCAAGATGCGAAGCACTGAATAGTGCTGTTCTTGAATGCTGCGCAGAGGGATTTCCTACATGATTTGTACTGCAACTACAGCTTTTTGATGGTACTCTGCTAAATTGTAGATGTAAAAAGACCCCTGTCTGGGTAGGTTGTAGTTTACCCCAATGCAGAATCGCAAGATACCCCTGTACATGTGAATGCTTGTGTGTCTCATGAAACATGCAATTAACTATTAAAAATAACACAGAGAAATCTTTTATAACGTGCTTCCTACTTCTCATCTGTGTCATGGATCAAGCAGCATATAATTTTTTTGTGTGTGTAGTAGTTAGGATATTGGCTGAAGAATGCTAAAAAATTCTAAAATAGATTAAAAAGTATTCCAAGAGAGTAAAAAGGGAGTAGTGGCTCTTCTTTAAAACATTTTTTTTCTATAATTTTTTTGAAGGTCGGTTATGCCAAGTTTGCTTTTTTGAACATTTAAAGGGCAAATTGAACTTTTGAAAAAATAATTGTAGGTCTTAAAAGTGAGGAGATGTTCATTTGTGAGATTCATTGCTGCTGCCTAGACCAATTTTTAATATTGAAATTCTAGATGAAGAACCAACTCAAACAGTTTCTTTCTGAGTTGCAGGATGCAACATAACAATAGTTATTTATATAATGCATATGCTTGCTTTCGCCGTTAGCTGTAGTTTGAAAGACTTATTAGCCGAAAGCCCAGCACGTTCGGAGAATAAAACCCTCCAAAGTTTGACATCTTTAAATAAGCAACCAAATGTTATAAAGAACAAACCTCACTTACAGTTAGGAAACAATATTTACATTTAAGGTTGAAAAGCCAGGATGTAGGAAAATTTTGCTAATTTGAAAGGTGACCTTTAAGTGCACCAAAACCAAATAATTTGTAAGCTATGGCACAGGGCACATTCCTGCAAAATTTGTGTGAATACTGCTTTAGTGGTTCTTGAAAGACAAACAAAGAGACCTGGAATGAAATCTTTATCCGTCTCCCAAATAAGATTGAGGCTAACAAAGGCATACAGCAGCGCTCTTTCAAAGCTTGCCATTAAAATGAAGGCTCTGCAGCACAGCTAATGAGATGGCTCAGAGTGGAAAACAATCTGTTTTTAAGAATGTTTAGATCAAAAGTAATTTCTAATCTATGAAATAAAGTCGCTTTTCAATACCTTTCTTTCACTAGTAAAGCTTTTTATGTTGGCACTATTTACTTCAATCAGATGTTTTCAATTTTACTTTTTTTTTTCTTCCTGAAAATACTTCCTAGGGTTAGTCTGTAGTGACCAACAGCATTATTCTTTTTCCCTCTCCCCTATTCACCACCCCCACACATTAAAAAAAATTGAGAAAAGAAGAGGGGGAGGAAGAAAGAAACATCTTTTCTTAAATGATTTGCAAGCATCTGTGCTTTAAGCTACTTTTTATGAACACTCCTTAGTAATGACTCAAGGTAAAAAAGCAGAAAAGCATCCAATGTTAGGAAATTGCAATCCAATACCATGTAATTTAAACCTGCCATTGCCTCTCCTGTACTAAATGACATACAGATGGGTAGCTCTGTTCCCTCTACTTTGGAAACACAATTGGTCTTTTTATGAGTGTATATACATTACTTGCAAAAAATATTTTTGTCAGAACTCTTTATTTCTAAATATACCATATTTTAATTATTGTCATAATTAGAGTACTTTTTACCTGTTATATTTTGTCAGCTCATTTTTGCAAGTCATTATCAAAGTTAACTCAATACTTGGCAATTTCTGTTATTACTAAGGGAGTTTTCATTCTCAAAAGCAGCCTTATTATATTTCTGTTCTGGTGTGTTGAGAATTTTTGCATTATGTTTTACATGTGTTACAGTGAATGTTTTTCACTCTAATCTCTATATACTCCTTGGGTTTTCTGTATGAGTTAAGCAAAACATAAGATGAGATTTTCCAAGGAGAGTAATTTTAATGCCAGCCCTAATTTTTAGGGCAGTTTGATTGCTGAAGCTTCAACTTCAGCATCAGCATAAAGAAATGACTTACTGCTGAGGGGTCATATTCTGGTGCTTCAACAAGGCCAAAATACAATTGTTAATATTATAAAGTAAAAGGACCAGGATTCTAGCAGTTAAATCAGCTGTACTGCAATTCTAATGATTTATATTATTTTAAGCTACTTGAAAGGTTATGAAATTGTTGCATGTTGTGGCTAAACATCATATGCCCATTACCGTAAGTCTCCAATATAGATGTCTTGTAAAAAACATTTCAGTTGTAGTTATTCTTGCAGGATTTTTTTTCTTTAGTAGTTGAAAAATGTTGCTTTCTTGTGAATGATTGTGCGCGCAAGTTTGCTATATAACACACACACGGGCTTTGGCTGTAGCACACTGTCACTGCTCCAGTGGAATCACCTGGCTCTCAAACAAAATTATTTTTAAACTTGGATTTGAAGAAATAATCAGCTGCAGTTCAGCTGAGCCATTCTTCGTGCATTAGGGACTGGTCTGGTCATTGACAAGTGAATGCAGAAGCTATGCTGTGGCCGTCTGCCAAAGCAATTATTCAGGATTTAAGCTAAAAAGGCTCCTTCTCCCATATCCTCTCCCTTTGCAGGGTCATGTAGGGATAAAAAGGAATGTAAGGTGGTCTTTTCCCAGGAGGAGCTGAGGAAGCGGCTGACACCCTTGCAGTACCATGTCACTCAGGAGAAAGGGACGGAAAGGTAAGGCGGGATGAAGGAAATCCACTCCTCGAGATAGAGGCATCTTTCTTTTCTCCCCTTCCTTTTCTTATTGCTTCCTCGTCTTCTCTGCCAACGTTTTTTCTAGGAATTCTGCACTTGTTTACTAACCCCTACAAATTAACACCACTGAACAGACAAGCATCTGCAGCATGGAGGCCAAGGCCAAGGGTCTTGTGTGACTTTTTCTTTTAATGAACACTGTATGTCTTATAAAGTCACAGGGCTTATGTTTAGGGTCTGTTTTTAGTTTACTACAAAATGTGTGGAAGTAATAGCGGTTTAGGTACTCTTTTTGGAAGACATCACAGTAAGCAGAACCACGAGGGAAATGGCTTTGTGCCAGCAACCTGAAGGTTTGAAGGTGGTCATTGTAAGCACAGACATTTTGGCTGCAGAAAGAAGGTAGCATAATTTAGTTCTTTTCCACCCCACTCCAATTTCTTTTTGAAGCACATGTGGAGAAGGTATTTATTGGCTCATTTGTGGTTGGAATGTCAAAAATTTTCAATAACTGCCCTCACATGGCTTTAGTCGTTGGAAGGCAGCCCTGAATCCTGGAGGGAAAAAAAAAAGGACTTGCTTCCAAGACTGTTTTTAGTGAATAAAGTCTCTCTCAGCTGATTCCAACGTGAAGGTAACTTGCCAAGGCCTAACCATTTTTGTTGTCTACTTTATACCACTGAGCTTGGCATCGGGCCCTCTCTTTACCTCTCATCCAAACGTACTAATGATGTAACTGCTTGTTTTCATTCATGACCTGAAAGGGCTCTTTACCGCGCATGGTGGGGCCCTGTTTTGGTGGGGACAGTCCCCTTGTCCTGCGCGGCCCCTGGCACCGCTCTGCGCCGCTGGCCTGGCATGGAGGCGCGGCCTGCTCCCGCGCGGCCCGCTTGTGTACGGGACCAACAACGTGATTTAATGCACACAAACAATTGGAGATTAGGTCATTCTTAAAAATCCTGTTTATAAAAAAAATTGGACCTCATAAAAAGGGTGAAAGGATAATAAAAACAAGCTGCCGAACACATAGGCTTTTTGTTGGACTAGCACAGCTGATTCGTATTAGATGAATGACCTCCTAGCCTTTTAGATTGTTAACTTAGAAAAATATTCCCTTAAAGCTGTAATATTGCTTTTCGACTAAAAATATAAGGCGCATACAGCTTGAAGTTGTGGACCAATTATTTCATTTTCAGCTACAATACTTCTGTCACCCTGACAGCCGATCTTCTACTAACCAAGTGCCAACTCTTCATGTCCTCTCCATGGCAGATACCCTGGTGCTTTTTATGCCTGCAGTTTAGCACCTGAGCTTACTGCTAAAGATTGTTTAAACACAAAACTATAGAAGTGCCTATGATAATCTAAATTTCAAGCAATCCCTGTTTACAAAAAGTTGTACTTCTCCATACAAATCGAGGAAGATTCCAGTTTTTAGCTTTTTGTTGTTGTTGTTCTGTCCTTTGAACTGTGTGACAATTTGCTTCCTTCCGCATGATACATAACTCCTAAGGCAAACTGTGCCTGCTTTATTTGCTCCATTTAATAAAAAACAACTGTGAACTTTTAGATAAAGTGCTTTTTTTTCCCGTAATTGTTTTCTAAAGTCCTAGCTAATTTAATAATTAAAAAAAAATCTTTATTTATTTTTTAAATGTAGTGTTGTTGTTTTCCCAGTGCCTTTGAGGGGGAGTACACACATCATAAAGCTCAAGGAATATACAAATGTGTTGTTTGTGGAACTCCTTTATTCAAGTGAGTATGCAAAATAGAGTTTTGAGATTTCTGTCTTAGTTTACGTGCTGTGTTGCAATGTATTCTTGCATCTATTCCAGGACTTACTGTAGTTGTATAAGATCATTTAAATCATTCAAGCTGATAAGGAATACATGAGAAGCCATGTAAATAATAACACAATAGTGAAATTGTTCTTATAGTAAACGTATAAAATGTTAATAATTAATTATTTAGATAGTAAGAAAGATAGTAAAATCATAGTAAAATAACTTACTCTGGTAGAATACATAATTCATAAGTATTAGCCTTTTTTTTTTCCTGTATACAACCATGCCAAGGCTATACAATGTGCAATTGTAACCCTTCAGTCTTTGAATGCACTGGTAGATATCTAGGTCTGCATGTAAACTAGTTAGCATTACTCATAGATTGCTTTAAGTTACGGATTTGAGATGGCAAGGCTCCTCCATGCTACAGCATTTTATCTCTGTAATGGGGAAAGACAGAAATACTTTTTTTAGAATTCATACAGTGAAGAAAACAAAGAAACAAACAGGAATATTACATTGCTTACTAGATTTTCATCCTTCCCAATTAACATACATACGTTGCTGAGTTAGGACCTGAGCCCATGATTAAGAAAGAAATAATAATTTTTGTTGTCTTGCATGAAAAATATATGTTAGAAGTTAAAGTGGGAATGATGGCCTTGCATGCTACAAGCAATGTTGATTGAACTCTCTCAGTCTCTGCATCATTCTGCTTGGTTTCAGTTTTTGTTTATGTATATTTTTGTATTTCTGGACATTTTTCTTCATTCTGATGGAGAAGTTCTTTTCTTGCTTCTGTTTTCCTCGAGTTCACATTGGTCTAGGCCTTTTCAGTTGAAGAGAGACCTTTACAGAAGCATGAAACAGGATGGTCAGGATAGCACTAACAATAGACAAAATTGGATCAGTTGTTGGTTACAAAGTAAAATAAAATTGAGGTAATTCAGTAATCTGCTGACATGCAGTGATAGTTGTTCTCAAGAGACTGTTAAAGATGAAAAATACACTCCGTCTCTGCTGCATTTGATTTCTCTGTTAGGATCACCAACACAAACTAAAGTCATAATGTGATTTTTTGAGTTGGGAGCTGATTATTGTGAAATCTGCCAAGGAGATATTCTCATGTTATGCATTAGCATGGTGCTTGTCTTGGGAATACAAAGTCAGGATCTATAGCCTGTTATTCTACTCTGCTGTTTAGACATTCCCTTGCTTACTATGGCTGAATCTTTATGAGGAAAAACCTGGCTCTGTTGAAGTCAATTCACATTTGGCAAATGAATGCAATGGAGCCAAGATTTCACCTTGAACCTTCAGGACTGGGTTCCTTTCTATCATTTGCTGAAGAAAGAGTAGATTTTTTGCAAGGTGAGATTTGGACAGCAGTAGTTCATATAAATGCTTTCCAGTTGCTTTCACAATCCATTTTATATGGGAAAAAACCTGCAATATGAGATTTACCTGTGATTATCTTAAATGTGCAGTGTGCTTTGGCATAGTCTTGACTTCTTTGAATTAAAAGGTAATGAGTTGGATTTCTCTGTGTGAAATGAGCTATATGGAAATGTCCCTGTTTTCAGATTCTCTTGGAGACTCCCCATTGATTTTATGGGAGGACAGAGGAGGAAAGAGAGCCTTTTATTTTTTTTAATAAATCCCAGGCCAGTGGGCACCTGAACAAGCCTTGCTAATTGTGTCCCAAGGCCAGGACTGGCTCTGCTCCAATCTCCCAGCAGTCTGTGTTCCTTTATAACATGAGATCTCACCACCTCAGATCTCCATCAGATTCAGCCAGTTGTTCTGAAGAGGATGTTAAGCATGGGAAAAAATGGGGAGGGGTATGGGAGGCCCATCTATTTTGTGTGGAGGGACACAACATACAGACAGGTATGTGAGGCAGAGTAGGGTCTCTTCTGCTGCATAAAATGGAGCGCACGCTGCACTGTGTTTGAAGTTACTGCAGTATAAGCTGGAAGCCTGGTAAATCTACTCTCACCTGCTAGATCCATGGTGGACAGCTCTTGTCCTGAGGACAATTCTGTCTTCTCCATCCAAATCCTCAGTGATGTAAGTTGTTAATGTTGAAGTTGTTGGCTGAAGCCAAGTATGCACAGTGCAATGACTGCACACTTCTAAAATGTCCTGGCACTGGAATTAGTGACTACTGCTAACTAGTAACTAGTGTGGATAAGCAGTAACCTCCATGTCATCAGGCAGAAGTACACAGATGTTTTTAGCATTCTCAAAAACCAACAGACCAGAATCCTTGATCTCAAACTCAAAATAACAATATATAACAAATTCTTCAACTAGGAAAGATTCATTCCTGTATCTTTAGGAAAGATTCATTCCTCTATATTGGTGACTGCTTCAGCTCAGAAGGCTGAAGTCCTGCAGAGAATATGTGGTAAGAAATTTTTGAATGTATGTTATTGTACTAAATCTTAAGAGTAAGATGGTAGTACAATAAAAAGAAAGTCCATAGCCCGGTTAAAATGCATACAAGTAGTTCTTTTTTAAAAAAGAAAATACCCAGATAAGCATCTGAAACTTGCATTTCCATTTGGTTCTCATTGGGTGTCCATTAATTTTTTTCTTTGTGTCGTTGTAATCTGTAAATATATATATTTGGACTATGGACCTGTCAGTTTAACCGGGAAAGAGACTGGAGCTTCAGCAGTAATATTAACAAACTTCAACTTTTAACATTTCTGATTTACGTTGTTTCATTACCATGTGACATACAAGGTCAGGGAACACATGAATTTTACACTCCAGATGAAAGACCTGGTTTTTGGTACGTCTTAAAAACAGAACTCTGTCTCTATCACAGGAAAGATAAAAGAAACAATTAGGAATTTAACATCTCTTCATCTACCTACTTGTACTAGTGTTATGAGAAACCACCCAAGCTTTATGGAGAACATGCTTTAACTTTTTCCACAATCAAAGGTGGCTCAAACATAAAATCCATAATCATGCCATTGAATCTAATTATTCTATCTCTGAACTTTCACACCAGACAGTCTCCTACATCCCAGTGCAGCTGCCTAAAGAAAGCAATAAATGAGAGAGACAATAAACTGATCTCAAGCAACTCCTTTCCTGAAAAACAGCCCTGGTATGGTTTTGTGTTACACTTACTCCAGTCTAATTGCAGGCTTGTGCTAAAAGGAGCAACCCTGCTCCCCCCACCATTCTCTAGGCAGTTTTTCATGGTTTCCCCTTCACCGGACCTAGCCATAGTGTGGCTGCAGTGTGTATTGATGCAGCAAATTGTTCTGACAGAAAGCTAACCCACCAAAGAAAAAATATTTAGTACTCATGAACTCTACCTGATTATGTTAATTTTCTGTGTGCCATGTTTATCATGGTTGGACAGCCTGCAGGGCAAGGTCGTGTGTCGTTATGTCAGCTTGCAGAGAGAGACAGCTACCCTACTGTTTTTTAAGGGCCAAGTGTATTTGAAGGATTGGACCTGCTCTAATTTTTCAAGCAATTTTCTTATACTCTATGCAAAAACATCATTCTGTCCACAACCATGGTAAGAGGAGGTCTGAAGGGGTCTGAGTGAAGTATGTCTATGACTTACTCTGCTTCCATAGAAAAGAAGCTATTCAGTATTTAATACACTACAGTCATGTCTTTAGTCATACACAAAACTGTATGAGAAAGGTTCAGTGTGGATGGGTTGAACTGGGAAGCCTAAGAGAATGACTTCCTTTTAAAAAAGAAATATTATTGTTGTGTCAGTTTCCAGTTTTTAGGGCCAGGAAAACTGTTGCCAAGTCTTAATAAATCACCCACTGTTGCCTTTATTGCTTCCTGTAAGGAATTCTCAGTAATGGTGTTGGCTATCCTGAACATGCACCAAAAGAAATAGCTGCATCCTTATTCATGTCATGTATTTATTTGACTTTCTTGGAACTTTATCTTTGTGGACTTCTCAACATTTCTTAGACATCCCAAAGTGGATGGTAGCTGCATTGCCTTCATTGTGTTCATTGCCAACACAACTGTTGGCCTTGCCAAGGTTTGGCAGCTGCAGAAAGTGACCACTCCACATTAAGGCCTTGTTCAAATTAGCCTAAATCGGCCAAGTCTCGTTGCTTTCAGAAACACAATATACGCTCCTTTTCTTGGTCAGATCAGACAGAATGGAAATTTTGAGTAAACAGCAAGTACTGTCAGCATGTAGCGCTCACCAGCTTCCTTAATAGTCTTTATATCCTCTGAGAAGGCCAAATGACAAATTAGCAGTAGCCATCTAGCTAAGAGATCCCCTAAGAAATAGCTTTGCCATAGTATTCATAGTTAAGATTGCATAGAACTACTTGAACAATTTTATCCACCGTGACTGACATTAATCTCCTAAAAAAAAATTGGAATTCTATGTGTCAAAAATAGCTTGTTCTGTTTAATAAAATCAGTTTGGAGTAAGCTAGCTCTTGCCAGTGTAGGACTTGATCAACAGGACTTTGGTGTTACCAAACAGTTCTCACTCCAGATCTAGATTTGTAATGGGTCTTGTGGAGCTCAGGGAAGCTTGAGGACCTTAAAACATGCACGAGCTTCTACAGCTTTTGTAACTCTCCCTGATAAAAGGCTGTTCAGAATTAAAAATCAGAAAAGCTCGTATCATCAAGCAGTGGTTTCCTCCTGCTTCATCAGTTTCTGGTTGAAACCAGCTGCTGTTTGAGGTCTGCTCTGTCGCTGGTGGATGACAAACTGTTATGCATTCCCTTGAACAACTTGTGAAAGCTACATTGCAGAAAAGCCTACAGATTTAAATGAATGCTTCTTTTACCAGCAAGAACGGTACGAGTTGCTCATGGAAAGAAGGAATGTGGACAGTCTGGAAGAAGAAAAGGAGAAGCTGAAATCAAATATGAGATCTTTTCGGTGATTCCAAAAGGTCTTTTTTTTTCAGTTTCTAGATGGTAGTTCTAATGCCCGTGGGAAAGTAGA